TATCCGTTTCAGACGATAAAACGCTTAAAGTCTGGCGTTGTCATCATCCGGATAATAAAGAAGGAATAATTACAAATAGTTGGAAATATATTTCTGGTTTTGTTTTAATTACATGTTAGTATTTTTAAAAAATTATATATGATTAATTTTATCCTTAATGATATTTTATTAACTAATTAAATATTCTATAATTTAACACACTCTAGCTTTACTTCAACTTTCAACAATTTCTTTAATCGCACATCTTTACAATACTTCCGATAGATTTTATTACGGTGTCAAATTTGATACTAGTTTTATGCTTGCATCAAGTTCTGTCGGTCTTAATTTCGTTCTTGCTTGTGTTTTATTTTTTGTTGGATGGATGTCAGTAAATCGTAATGGTTACGAGAATATTTAGGATATTATCATTATTGCATAACATTTGACTTTCAGATACGAACATTATTCAATATAAATTTAATGAAATAACCCTTTAAAATTCATTTATCATTATTTGTTATACACTTTTTAACAATTACAACCCCTAAAAAAATGCACCCTAAAATTTTAAAGCTTAAGGTCCAATTTCTATTATCAGCTGTTTCCAGTATCAGCTGTTTCCAATATCAGCTGTTTCCAGCATCAGCTGTTTCCAGCATCAGCTTTAACCTCAATTAATTTACCATAAAAAACATACATGTGCATTTCTAGCCTTTTAAAATAAAATAAACTATTAAATCACTATAAACTCAAAATAAACCATATCTATTCCTTCATATTTTGAAAACGCTATTCTTCTTCCATCTGCCATATTCTAACAATTCCATCATCTCCAGCTGTGGCTAACCAATTTGAATGCTTTTCAGTAGGATACCATTGCACACAGTTAACATCGGCAACTCCGTGAGCTGATGTAGCTGATGCTATCATGGAAAAATTAGTCGTATCTATTATATTATCAGAAATTGAACTTTCTTCCTGTTCAAACACTCTGACCGTGTTATCTCCACCACTACTAGCGATACGGCCATGAATCTTGGACCAACTCACTGAATAAATGCATCGTTGATGATATCCACTCAGAGTACATATACATTTCCATTTTGCTTCATTTCGATTTGTAATTATTCCTTCTTTATTATCCGGATGATGACAACGCCAGACTTTAAGCGTTTTATCGTCTGAAACGGATA